CACCTGGGTGGCTCAGTCAGTTAAGCATCCAACTCTTGATTTCAGCTTGGGCCATGATCTCAGAGTCATGAGACTGAGCCCCGCATTGGGCTCCACGCTTGGTGTGGAGTCTGCTTGGGAATGTCTCTCTCCCTCTTCCTTTGCCCGCCCCCCCCCCATGCTTATGCTTCCATGCACACACTATCTCTCTAAGAAAAATAAAGAAACAAATAAATAAATGTGCACATGAAAATTAAAGATCACGGGTATATATCCACCCCCCAAAATAAGTAACTAACCATCAAAACAAACCCACAATAAGAATTACAGACACAGATCCTAAGGCAATCATGTTTGTTAAGTTACAAAAGACAAGCTTGAGATTTGGTAAGGCTACGAGAAATAAATACTAGAAACTGAAAATAGTGCAATATGAAAAAGAACCAAATAAAAATTTCAGAACTAAAAATTACAGTAGCCAAAATTGAGACCTCCCTGGATGGGTTTATCAGCCGATTAGACACGAAAGAAAAGAGAGTTGGTAAATTGGATTATACTAAAAGAAGCTATGCATAAGGAAGCACAAAAAGGCAAAAAATAAAAGTAACGATGAAAGGGTAAGCAGCATGGAAGACTGAATATTTGGAGAGGTAGTGGCTGAGAATATTCTAGAATTGATGAAAGAAACCAATCCACATATTTAAGAAACCCAATGATTCCCTGCTGGGATACGTAATCTTTACCTATTTACATCTTAGTGAGACTACAGAAAACCAAAGGCTCAAATTAAAAGATAACAATTATAGATTGAATTTTTAAAATATTCAAATGAATGCTGTTCCCAAAGGCCACATTAAAAACACACAGACACAAGAAAGCTAAAATCGAAAGGTTGGAAAAGATATAATATGTAAATACTACACAAATACAAAAAAGTAACATTGATATCAGGCAATTAAATTTTAAGGCAAAATTCATACCCTGAGATAAAAATGTTCCTTCATAACAATAAAAGCTTTGTTTTGCCAGTGGCATATAGCAATTTTATTTTATTTTTTATTTTTTAGAGAGGGGGGCAGTGAGATGCAGAGGGAGAGGTAGAGAGAGAATCAAGCAGGCTCCTTACTCAGCACAGAGCCCAACGCAGGGCTCAATCTCATGACCCTGAGATCATGACCTGAGCCGAAATCGAGTTGGATGCGCTTAACTGAGCCACCCAGGCACCCCAGAATACAGCAATTTTAAATGTGGATTGTTTCATGTAGAGAGAAACTCTTGAGGAAATAGACAAATACTAATCAAGCATGAGATTTTTAACACACCTCTTTTAGTAATTGACCAAATGAGCAAACCAAATTTTGAACAAATGATTACTAGATTTGACCTAACAAATATATATAGGAAAATGCACACAATAACTAAGAGCACATGTTTTTTCAAGCACAGGCAAAAAAAGCACTTATACAGATTTACCTTTTGCTGACCATAAAATAAGTCCCAACCAATTTCAAATGTTTGAAGATGTATAGAGCATATTCTCTGACCACAGTGAAATTTTGTTAAAAATCAATACAAGTAGGATAACTAGGAAATCCTATCTATTTAAAATAGAAGAAATACATTGCTATTCCACTGAACTGTGGGACTAGCTAAAACAGTAAGGCAATCATTCAATCAAGAGGAAAGAAAAGAAAAGAATAAAACACTATTGTGATGATTATGGTGGGGAAAAAAAAAGAAGCTACAGCTGTATTAATAAGAGTTTTGCAGTGTTGCTAGATACAAACTCAACAAAGAAAAATTAATTGTATTTCTATATATCAACAAAAGCAGAAAATGAATGTAAAGATACCATTTACAATAAAATAAGAAACAAAACAAAAGAGGGTGAAACTTCTTTCATATTTCGTATAAAATTGGAGAGACTTTGGAGAAGACCCAAACAAGTGGAGAGATAAACCATGTTTCTGGATTGAAAAACTCAAAAGTGCTAAATATGGTATGCTTCCCAGATAGAAAGCCTCTCAGTAAAAAAAAAAAAAATCCCAACAGATTTCTTTGTTTTTGTTTTTGTTTTTTTGGTGAAATTCACGGACTCCTTCTAAAACTTAGATGGAAATGAAAAACACAAAGAATAATCAAGGAAATTATTGAAGAAGGACAAAGCAGACAAAATTCTTTAAGATATCAAGGCTTATTTGCTGGGCGCCTAGGTGGCTCAGTCAGTTAAGCATCTGTCTTTGGCTCAGGTCATGATCTCGGGGTCCTGGGATTCCTGCTCACTGAGGAGTCTGCTTCTCCCTCTGCCCCTCCCCATGCTCCTGCTTTTTCTCTTGCTCTGCGTGCTCTTTCTCTAAATAAATAAATAAAATCTTTTTTTTAAAGGCTTATTTTAAAGCAACAACAATTTGGCTTGGCATAGGCACGTGTAGAGTAGATGGAATGAAATAGAATAGAAACCTAGAATCACGTCCATACATACGTGAACACTGGACAAAGCCAAGAATGGGAGAAGGAAAGTCTTTCACTTAATAGTACTGGGGAAAAGTGCATATTCATTTGGAAAAGAAAATGAAATTTTGTCTATGAAAATATTTATAAAACATGACATAAAGCAAAAGCCACAAAGACAGACTGATAAACTTGCATATGCTAAAATTAAGACAATTTTTTCATCAAAAGAGGCCACTAAGAAAGCAAAAAGGAAAAACGTATCAGAGTATAAGAAGGAAAGAAATCATTTGCAACATATATAAGGAATAAAACTCAAGTCCAATGTCAGTTTAAAAAAAAAGGACTACTTAAAAGAAAAGAAGCACTATGCAAAAGAAGAAAAGCAAATTGTGAATAACAGATGAAAAGGTGCTCAATTTCATCAATAATCCAGTACAAATTAAAATGACCATGAGATAGAGCATGAACTCACCGGACATGCAAAAGCTAGAATTTTCACATGTCAAGTAAAAGTGAGTACCATACTTCAGAATATAACTTTGGTTTATTTAGAAAGGTTAAAAATATGCATGACAAGCCTGTATTCCTAGAGATACTCATACATGGGTGCACTGCATTGTATATACAAAATTAATCAGGGCAGCAGCATTATTCATAATATTAAAATATTGGAGATACCTAAGTATCCATCAACGATAGAATGGATAAATAATACACAACAAGAAAGATGAACTAGAATCACAAGCAAAAGCTTGGATGGAGCTTAAGCATAATATTGAGAAAAAACAAGTTGCCAAGAAAAAAAAGCATGAATTTATTTATAGTAAAGTTCAAAAAGAGGTAAAACTAAACTATTTTAGGGGCGCCTGGGTAGCTCAGTCGTTAAGCGTCTGCCTTCAGCTCAGGTCATGATCCCAGAATCCTGGGATCGAGCCCCGCATCGGGCTCCCTGCTCGGCGGGAAGCCTGCTTCTCCCTCTCCCACTCCCCCTGCTTGTGTTCCTGCTCTCACTATCTCTCTCTCTCTTTCTGTCAAATAAATAAATAAAATCTTAAAAAAAAACTAAACTATTTTAGGGATGCATATATGTCAGTAAAATTATAAATAAAAGCAAGAAAGTGATAAAGTCAGGATTGCAATTGCCTCTATGAAGGAGGGGTGGTAGGCAAGGGCCACATATAGATTTCTGGGGTTCTGGCAATGTTCTTTTTCTGGACCTGAGTGATGGCTACTTTACAATAACTTATTGTACTACTGTATACTGTTTTGCGTACTTTACTTTTTTGTGTTACGCCCCGTGATTTAAAAAAAAACAAAAAACAAAAAACAAACAAAAAAAAAAAACGAGAAAGTGCTCTATCTATTGGCATGGAAGAATTCTCGAGCTATATGTTGTGAAAAAATAGGGTGTGGGAAAGTGTAAAAGTGTATAAAATTTACTACTATTTATGGACGGGAACGGAGAAAACAGTGGTTGTCTCTGGGCAGGAGAAATAGGTACCCAAGGAACAGGGTCAGAAGACTTAGTCACTGTAAGACCCTTTTGTTGTGTCTTTTGAATTTCATACCATGTGAATGTATTACGTACCTATTCAAAATAAATAAATAAAAATGCCTAACAGCAAAAAAGTTTTCTAGCAACTCCAACCATCCTTATCCACAAGGGGCCGCTATTCAATGATGTTTAACTAATTCCTCACCAGGGAGAAACCTGTATGATCCCTGCTCTCACTAGTGAAGAAGTGTCATCATTTATGTTCTTACTTTATTTTACACATCATGTTCCAGGGGAAAAAAAAAAACAACGCTCAACTCACAAATATGCGCCAAAAATTAATATGAATGTAAAATGGGATGAAAGAAGACAAAGACGTGGAGAGATAATAGGAATTCAGGGATGAGTTTAGAAGAAGCACGGCATTAAGGACCTCCCCTGGAGTCAATGCACAATCTAAGATTTCTAGCATCTGATGCCAAAAAAGGGAAGTGTGGTTAGTGACAAATTCAAAATCTTGCTCGGGAGAGTATTAATACTAGGGAAAAAAATTTTCCCTGGCGGTCTGTTAAAGATAATCTGAGAGGACCCTCGAGGTGTGCTTCCTGACTGGTCTTAATAACAAGAATAATCCACCCATCACTTGTGACACCAAGCGACCTCACTCTCCAAGGGAAGCGTAAGATGCTTTGGGACTTCAGATGAGCGAAGTTTCATTCATGGTTAATCATGAATGAAAAAGAAAGTAAGAATACATGCTGCAGAAGAAGAAGAAAAGCTTCTGAGAGAGCGTGCTTTTAAAAAATTCCCTGTCTTACATGCAAGACAGAGAACGGGTGTCTTCACTCGGCTGTATTTTTCAACATTTGGTTATTGCAATGAATTGTCTTTTTTCTTAAAGTTCAGCTGATTGTGCTTCAGGCCACTAAGGAGTTAAATGCTGTCCTCTAAGTTCAAGGGGAATTAGCCCAGCTCAAACACACGGTGCACCCTGGGCAGTATAAAGGCGGGGAAATCAGCAGCAGGGAAGACAGTTTCCTCTGTGACCCGAGCTGCACACTGATATAAAAGCACTTTGGCAGTTATGGAGCCATCTGACATTCGAAGGAAAAAGATAGCTGTCGTTGGTGGTGGCTTGGTAAGACTATTTGGATATCTTATTCCTGTTAGTGGTGTTATATTATCATTAGTCTGAATAATTATTATAAATCACTTGCACAGATTGTTCATCTTCTTGTGAAACTTCTCTGATATTTAAACATGCCTATTTTAAATATGGGATGAGTGGTAATTTGCTCTTTTCAATGAAAGGTATTTTTATCTCCATTAAATACAAAGGTGTCTGTTTTCCCTGGTCATTTTGGTTTAGCATTTCTTAAAAAAAACAGAGCAAATTGATTTTGATTCATCCCCATGTTGGCTATGTTTTTAAAACAGATATCAGCGTCGATAGTCATTTTAGGCCAAACGTTTGCCTCATTTGGTGAATAACTCAGTTTATACTAATAATAAGAATAAAAGCTAATGCAAAATTGTTATGTTGGATGTTCGCTAGTGGGAAGAGCACCTGTTTGGTCTCCTGACTTATTTGGCTGGTCCCGTGGAGCACGTAAGGTGGTGGAGTGAGGGCCTCCCCTGTCGCTGGGCATAGGAGATGAACCTGCAGAGCCTTGCCCCACACCTAGAAGATGTGGGAGGGGTCTCTCCTCCGCTGCCATTGTTATCTTACCAAAGCTGGTCTGTTTCATGTGGGGCTGCCTCAAGTAGACTGTATTTACCCCCCTCAATAGAACTCCTATTTTGGAATAAAAGTATCACCATTGGTAAAAGCTTAACCATTTTGTTTTCACCTTTGCTATACTCATTTGTAGGCTTTTAGCTCATAGGTATTCATTCATTCATTCATTTACTCAACAAAAATTTCTTTTTATTCCAACAAAAATTTCTTAAGAGCCTGATATGTGCCAGACACTGTTCGAGGGATTAGTATAGTTTATGCCACACATTTCTTTATTGAGTATATGTTAATTTCGTCTTTTGTTCTGCCTTCTTTATGATCTTTTCACCCAAAGTACTATGACAAGTTCCTCTAACATTCCTGGTTCTAGATTTCAGTATGCTAACGAATGCTGTCACATGCCATGTTGGTCAAGGCATGTGACATATGTTGTCATTTCTTTACACGGGGCCTCAGTCCAGGTCTTTCCTATCGAAATTTTGCAGGAAGTGAGATGCATGTATTCACCACAAAGTCACTGCACGCCTGCTATTTGCCAACATTGTTTTTGTTACCAGGAATACAGTGGTGAATATTCCTGGGAAGTGAAAAGAGAGCAGAGAAGAAAACAAATCATTTCAGTGAGAGATAGACATTGTAAAGAAATGCAAATAGGGCAGGACTGTAGAAAGTCTTCACGGGCATCTGTTTGGAGTGTGGTCAGGGACGGCCTCTCTGAGGGGAGGATATATGACCAGAGACCTGAATAATGGAAGCAACCATGTGCGGGGCTACAGAAAGCATTCCAGGCAGAGGAAAGAGCCAGAAGAGAAACCCTGAGGTGTTCAAGGAGCAGACAGAAAGGCAGAAAGAGTGAGGCTAGAGAAGAGGAGCTCCTGAGGCAGGAATGCTGAGAGAGCCAGATACCCTAGGGTCTTAAGAGGGCAGGGCAAGAAGACCGGATTTTACTCTGAGCATCATGGGAAACCACTGGAGGACGTTAGGCAGGAAAGTGAGTTGTGATTTTAAAAGATTTCTGGAGCTAGTGTGTGGAGGAGTGGAAATTTTAAGACAAGGTGACCAGTTAAGACACTGTTGCATTTGTCCAAGACTCGGACTATGGGAGCAGCAGTGACACCTCTTAGAATGTCTCTTAGCAAAGGGGAGGTAACAAATGTGTGATTACATATACGATTTGGGGAGGCATAAATATGTGGGTGTCATCCATGGATTTCTCGCTGCGGTAACACTTAAACTCTTTGTCATGTAACCACTTCATTATCTGGGCACATACCTGTGCTGGAACATAGAAGAAATGTATTAGAAGCCACTAAAATTCGGGGCGCCTGGGTGGCTCAGTTGGTTAAGTGCCTGACTCTTGATTTTTGGCTCAAGTCATGATCTCAGGGTCATGGGATCCAGCTCCGAGTTGGGCTCTGTGCTGAGCGTGGAGCCTATTTAAGATTCTCTCTCTCCCTCTCCCAGTCCCTTCTTGCACTCGCTCGCTCTCCAAAACAAAGAAAGAAAGAAACTAAAACTCCTCTGCAAAGGAATTCTATCCACCTACCTTACTGCTCAGGCTCACGCCTAGGAATCATGTTTGATTCCTTTTTTCATTTTATGTGCAGACCTCCATTCCTCTTTTACTCCACCGGTAAGCTTTGGTGGCTCTATATCCAAAATCAGTGTCAACTCTGACCATTGCTACCATCCCAGTCCAGGCCATCATCATCCCTCATCCACCTCCTGTGTGGTCCCACAGCTTCTACTCTTATCCAGGGACAGTCCATTCTCCACATAGCAGCCACACCCATCCTCTTAAAACATAAGTCTGGTAATTATAACTCGTTGCCAATGCCTTCCAGTGGTTTCCCATTGCAGATAAAACAAAATCCAACTCTTTACCAAAGGCTCCACTCAAACCGAGTCTGTCTACCTGGCTGGCTTCACCATTTCCCTGTTTTATGTTTTTTTAATATTATTCATCAGCACCTGGAATTACACCCTTTATTTGTTTTTGAATTTTAACCTATTAAATATCTACTCCAACTAGAATACAAGCTTATATTTACCAGTGTATTCCAGTGGCTGGAACCATGTCCAACATGACTTATTTTTATTATTTAGTTAGTATTGGATAGATGAATGAACAAGAGGGATGAAAAACTCTCTTAAGGATAGGAAGATGAAGGAATCGTCACAATGAACAAAACCTTGAATTTTGAGCATATCGTGAAAAAAAAGTATTAAATAAAGCAATTCAAGAAGGTTAAATTAAAACACGGAGGACAAATTAATTTTCTCTCTCAACTGCTTTCTTGTGTCTTTCTGTTCACCTTTCCCAATCTCTTCCTGCCAACGGGCCACATCCTCGTACCTTACACTGTCTAACACATGAAAGGCTCTCCCCAGCCCCTAAGGGGAAAAACTACAACAGAGTTGAGAACTTTTCCTTAGAAGTCCAAAGGAGGGGTGCTTGGGTAGTGTCTGAAACTCTTGGTTTCAGGTCAGGTGGTGATCTCAGGGTCGAGAGATCGAGCCTGACTTCAGGCTCCCTGCTCAGTGTGGAGTCTGCTTGAAATTCTCTCCCTTCCCCTCTGCCCCTCCCGCTCATTCCCATTCTCTCTCTCTCTCTGAAATAAATAAGTAAATCTTAAAAAAAAAAAAAAAGTCCAAAGGATACAGTGAATTCACCTTATTTTTTTTCGGTAGTAGCCTTGCCCACTGAAAAGCCACCCTAAGAATTTGTCCTTGCCCCACTGTAAGTGATCATCTGACCCTATGATAGACGAATTAATTTCTTTTCTTTGAAGACCTGTCAAGTCAAAGACGTCAGAAGGAATCAACAGATCAAGGAAGGAACTCTTATTGAGAAACTAGAGGTAAAAGAAACTAAACCATGATCTTAAACTGGTGAAAGTTTAAAAAAAAAAAACTTTAATCTGAGTATTTAGAAAGATCACTGTATCGACTTAGACATTTCCCTCCTTGTGTGAAACACTGCTCCCCAAGCCCCCCCGCCAATGTCATTACCTCCTGGAAGCTGAAGGGTCATCCTGTAAAGACCTCTTCTCTCCTGAAAATGTCCCCAGGGTTCTGTTTGCCTCTATCACAGGCTTCATCCTATGAAAGTTATTGATACGCATGGTTTATTTCCCCATAAAAGGTATGTACTTTTCTAAATCTTGAGATTGTCTTATCTTTGGGTCCTGCTCCCTTCCTTTTTATAAAGATTATCTCAGTGCCTTAAACCGTCAAACACACTAACACACTTTGTGTGCATGAGTTTGCTTTGCTTTCAGAAGTGGGGAATCATGTGCTTACAAGTTGGGGGCAATTAAAAGAAAGGCAATGTTTTCCACCAGAATGGTGTCATAAGGAATGTAGTCCTTGAAGGATGATCTTGAAAATGGATTTGATAAACAACCTCTACCTTTCAGGCTGGAAGGAGGTCTATGGGTGCAGCTTTCTGATTGTATAGCCTCGGGGCGGAAACTGCCACATAAGCTGCCTTACTCTGTGTTAGTAATACCTTTTCTTTTTTTACAAAGTGACAAGCCAATGACGTCAAAAGAAAGTCTCTCTAACCTGCCCAGTATCCTGAAGCTATGTTCCTACTCAGGTCCGGCTTCTGGTGACTGTTTGCAGTGTTTACCCGTGGGTAGAAACGAGCGGAGCCAAAGGGCACTCTTTCAGCAACATCTACAGCTCCTTGAGCCCTCATTTGTGGGGGGAAGCCAAGAGCTCTAGCTGAAAGAGCTACAGAGGATTCCAGGCTCAGCTGTGGCCCACTGTCCGAGCCCACATTCAAAGATGTATCGTAGGGTAGCATTGAAGCCTTCCTTCTGTCTCCCCTGCCGACAAGCAACCCCACTACACATCGTTTTGAGATCCATTATCCCTGTTTGACCAGCAAAATGCTCCTTGAAAAGGTATTGAGAGGGTAAAGTCTTTCGAAACATCAGAATAACAAGACTCGTGAACTTTATGACTTCTTGTCCATAATCATGCCCTCTCTCGCAGTGTTCGAGTCAGGTTAGTGACCTCTGTTCATGAAATTGCCTTTGAAGCAACTTCACCTTGACTCTAGGAGAGGGTGTATGTCACAGCCAAAAACGTTAGATTTCTCTTGAGGATTTATAGGGTCAGAGGCATCTTGGTGCTGGATTGGCCCTAGACTGGGTTTCTGTCCTCTGTTCTTAGGATCTCTCCACCTCACCTGAATGAGACAAAGCATCTGATAGTGAGGGGACTAAAATCAGCTGAGACTGCAATCAGAAAATCACTCAGAACACCAGATGGCTGTGTCTTTTAACTCTAAAATTCCACGGCTTCCTTTTCACCCTTCCTTATCCACACACTTCTATCTTTGTTCTCAATCTAGTTGTTATAAAAGCAGAAATCAGATGTCACCCAGAATT